TGTTTTCTTTATATATCTACTTCATATCATGATTTTCAGTTAGTAACATCTAAGTATTTCTTTTTATCACTTTTTTTTCTTTTTGAAAAATAAAATTTTTATTTGTTACTCCAGTTTTTAAGTTAAAAAATATTCCGAGTTTGCAATTAAAAATAAATTTTTAAATGTTTAATGCCGATTTTAACTCAAAATTCTTTAATTAGGAAATTCGAACCCTGGTCTAAGGCCTTAAAAAAAACGGCTAACTTTGAAAATTATTTCCTGGAAATAAGGATTAGTAATGGCATATCGCTCTTTCAGGAGTTTTAAACAAGTATTTGAGTTGGAATTTTGATATTACTTTTTTCAAGAGGTTGTCTACGGCGACGTTAATTCTAAGAACCTGTGCAATAATAATAAAAAATCGATAACGATTGGACAGAGTAAAACATTGTTTTTTATACCCTGAACAGGGTATATTAAGTTTGTTACGAGGTTTGTAACACCCAGAAGGAAACGTCGGGGACCCTATAAAATATATACATAAATGATCAGCAAGATGAGCTGAGTTGATTTAGCCCTGTCCGTCTGTCTGTCCATCTATCCGTCTGTATATACGCGAACGAGTCCTTCAGTTTTCAAGCTATCGATCTGAAATTTTGCACACGTTCTTTTATCACCAAGAAGCTGCTCATTTGTCGGAACTATAGCATATAGCTGGCATACAAACTGAACAATCGCAATCAAATGTTTATATGGAAAACTCTTTCATTTGACGAGGTATCTTCACGAAATTAGGCACGTTGTTGTTTAAGCAACAATGTATTCCCCGCAGAAATTGTTCAGATCAGATCACTATATCATATAGCTGCAATACAAATTGAACGATCGGAATCAAGTTCTTGTAAGGAGCCTAGGTATTTGTGAAGGGTATTATAGCTTCGGTGCAACCAAAGTTAATGTTTGTTTTTTGTTTTTCTATAATATTGTAGAAGATAGTGTCCGTACTACGAGTACAAACAGTCGAAAAAATCAAAAAATAACAAAATGGCCGCTTCTTTTTTAAAGGTAAATTTTACTAAAAGTTTTGGTCGTTTTGGCTCCAAAGTTCGATTTTTGATTATCAAAAACTGGCAGGTCACTGTATAGAGACTATATACAGAACATGCAGAAATGTCACTCAAGTAAATTTAAAAAACGTGTTTAAAGATAAGCCGATGCTGGTTGAACTGAGCGGCTACGTTTGAGAAGGCTGTAACTCAGAAACTATTTAAGATATTGATGTAAAAGTTTTAGCTATCGAACATATCAAAATATGAAACATTTTTGTGTGGTAATTAAAACCAGTGCGAAAAAAAACATTTAAAAATATAAAATCATAATTGCAAAATATACTATATAGAATGCCAATCAGTCTAGTGTAGAGTATTATTCCGTATGCAGCACTTAATTTATGACTTATTAGTTCTTATTACTTCAATGGAAATTATCATATCATAAACTTACTTAACTATTATGGAACATACATACGTACACACTTACAAATACCATGCATATATTTCCCAATAAGTAATAAAAATTATTGTAATAAGAAATAATCTCAACTGGCTCTTTCTCGCAAAAGCGTACTAATTAGCACACTTTGTATAATTATCACACAATTTACGACAATTATTGTGGTTTTCAGTCTAGTTTGTGACTACTCTGCTGAGTTCGGAATTTCAGTGCAGCAATGACTCAGGCAGCTGGCAAACATTTTACTTGTAAAGAATACCAGAAGAAACGGTGATTTTTCGTTGAATTATTAGGTTTTTTCCTTTAATACTAATTTATCAAGCTTATTATAATTATTTTCTTGAGAATCAACTAAGATGCATTGCGGTTGAAACTCAATTCTACTTCCTACATTTTAAATGCCGCCATGACGACCATGGAGACTTTCGCACGAATAATATATGTACATATATTTTATTTATATTTTACAAAGTGCAAACATTTCTTATTGTACCTATAATATTGCAAGCAGAGAATTTTGAAGGCTATATTGTGTCTTCATGCGAGATTTGTGTGAAAAACAATCAATAGTTTTAGTTTTCTTCTATAAAGAAATCATAGTAAAGTCTTTAAGATTTTCTGTAATACTATTACATTTAATAATATTAAAAAAGCGGTTTAGAATTTCAAGAAATAATATAGCATTGTTTAACAAATACGTATAATTTTGTAAATGGAGCACGCTTTATGTAGGGTGATCCATTTCGAGGTTCCCTACTTTTTTAAAGAAAAAAACACAGAAAATTCAAATTTATTGAAGAATGCTTATTATCATACGAAAAAAACATTCTTTGGCATTTATTTTTTGAAGATTATCTCTTTCAAATGTTGGCCGCGGCTACGTATCAGAGGGTACATCCAATGAGTCCAATTTTCGATGACTCGTTCGAGCATTTCGACTGAGGCCTGAGTAGAAGCGGGTTGTTCGCATAGACTTTAGGCTTTACATATCCCTACAGTAAAAGGTCTAACGTTGTGCTATCACACGATCTTGGTGGCCAATCGACCGGCGCAAAACGTGAAATTATCTGTGTTCTCTCAATAAATCCATTGAGGAATGCGATGTGTGGAAGGTGGCGCCGTCTTGTTGAAACCAAATGTCGCCGAGATCACGAGCACCAATTTCAGGCATCATCATCTTCTTTGAACTTTTCAACAGCCCATAGGGCGAAGCGATGTCGCTAGGGAAGGCCGAGCGGCTTCAGTTCTTACACAAGCTGTATTTTGTTGCGCCAAGTCGTTCCATACGTCAGTTCGAGTTGCTGCGAAAGTCGACGAATCAATGAAAAAGTTGAACGATTTGTAAACGTTGTTCAGGCGTAAGTCTTTCCATAACGAAATGCCAAACAATGCGGAAAAAAAAAATAACATGACAGCTTGACACGACTCTCGCGTGATCTTTCCAGAAACGCTTTTGGAAAAAGTACCTCTACTTGGATCACCCGTTACTAACATATACCATGTACACATGTATGTACTTGTATGTATACATGCCGAAAAGCGTTCGATCACCAGACGGTGCATATACGTAACTTTACAGGGTCTCATGTATGTGTATGTGTACGAATATTTATAACTGCGTATCTCTTAAATGGATCGAGTCCAATCTAGTTTGAAAATTCAAATAACATAAATTCACGTTTTTAAGTAAACGAGAATGGCATTCGATAGTTTTTTAATTGCATTTTAAACTTTTTATTTTATAATTTTTTTTTTTGCCATTTAAAATTTTAATAAAAAAGAATTAAATTTTATTTATATTTAAAAAAATATAAGATAACGATGATCACAACAAGTAATTAAACTATACTGACATTTTGGATATGTTCGTCACAAAATAAATTGTCAGAATTTAACAAAATATCAAATAGAAAACGTAACCTTACCGGTGCTATCGAAAAGATTTGCTATATTGTTCGATAACACTGTTAACTATTTCTAAAATATCTCATGTAGTATCTACATATACATATATATTTTCCAAAATATAATATATTTTTAACCGTTTCATATTGGCATTTTAATATCCAATTTTAATTCCTTGACAAATATTTGTAATGTTTTGCCAAAACTTTTGTAAATAAAAGCCTAATTTGTATATATTTTATTTAATTTTTATATTATATTATATTTTTGAGTATTTTCATATTTGTTATTAATTTCTTATGGCAGTTTTTAAGCGTTAAAAATATGTTAAATTTTTTAAAAGTAATTCGTATTTTGATAACAAAATTTTATAATTTTATTTTGTAGTATTTTTTTTTATTTTTTGCAACATACTTTTTTATGGAAAATTTGAAAATTTTCACTACAATTTGGATTTTGTCATTTTTGTATTTAATAGTTTACAAATGGTTTGCATAATAAGTTTTACTTTAGTTAAATTATTTTTTAACTTTCGAAAATTTGTTTGTAATACAGTAGTATTCCGAAATAACGAATATTCGTTTTAACGAAAACCGTTTATAACGAACAGTCAAAATTTCTTATATTGAGTATCCTAAATAACGAACAACGGAGATATGTCAGTACTCGGTTTAACGTACAACATGAAGACATATGTAGAAAGAGTTAAAAAGAATTTAATAGTGGTCAGAATACGAAACAAGACAATTAAAAAAAAAAATGACTATGTTCTTTATGTTTTGTATTTCTTTCCTTTTGAATTAAGTGTAAAAGCGGGGTAATTTTGTTGAAGAGGATGATCTCCAATGAGGAATCGAGTTAAATTGCTGAATTCGGTTTTTCCAAATGTAAATGCGATGTATGCTTAGACCTTTCCAAATAACTACTTTTTGTTTGACATTTTCGGCTTCAATTCTCTGTCAGCGATTTGAACCGATGGGCTAAACTAAATTTCATACAACATTCGGATGAGGTTGATGATCAAGTGGATAGTAATGGCGAAATTTAAAATATAAACCTAAAAATCAAATGTAATCTCTTCACATATTCCAACGAAGCAAACGACGTTTAATCAGTTGTTTAAATGGCAATAGAAACTTATACTACTGATATACAAATATTGTGATCTCATGAATTTGCTTTTTAGGCACATTACTTCCTTTAAGGTAATATCAATAAGCGCTTTGAATTGTTCCTTTTTGTTTTTTATTTCTTTTTTAACAAGTGATGCAATAAAACAATTTGTCAAATTGCAATTTTCGGATACTTTACTCATTTTTATTCAAAAACATACTTCGCTAAGTGAGTACTCGAATTAACGAAAAATTCGGTATAACTAATTGATCTGACAGTTATAATAATTATGTTCGTTATTTCGGAATACTGCTGTAATATTAAATTGTTTTATGGAAATTTTCAATGTTTTTAAAACAAGTTTTACTTCTAATCTTCTAATTTTTATAATTTGGTACAAAATTGTTAATTTTTTCATATTAATAGTTAATTTAATTTAGAACATTTTTATAACAGTTTTTAATTTATTTTATGCCATCACTGGTGAGCCCCGTGTCGTATGAGTAACATTACATCCTTTGAGTGGAAACTTTTGTTGCGTATACGCACCTGCACAATTCTAATAAATTCGCTCAGCTGGAATTTACATAAATAAAGCAATGCGATGTTCTATTAGCTGGAATATTACAAATGAGTAACAGTGAACGGCTTTACAAACATATGCATATATGTATGTACGTATGTATATACAATATGTACTTCCTTTTGAGAGGTTAACTGTAAGCTTTGTTGTTGTGCTTTGCGGTTTTAGTTACAGTGAACAAAATCACGTCTATTAAGCACAAAAACAAAGCGTAAGTTGCAATTGTAACTAAAGCTGCGACCAATAACAAAGAAGCGTGTGAACCCTGCGAGAGCCGTGAGCAAGAGCTGTGAGCGAATGACAACAGCCAATGACTCAGTGACCGCTACGCTGACTAGTCCAACTTGGTAAGGAGATATGACATAGAATCGAATTTGTTAGCGGAACTTACCCCCTTGGCATACATTTACAAACACACTTATGGTCATACCAGCGACTGAGAGTGAATGAGTAGTAGTGTTACTTTTGTGCTGGACGAGCATTTGGGACTCGCGCATGTGTGTAGGTGTGTGCGTATCTATGTGTGTGTTGAGTGAGCATTGAGCGTCTAACAGAACTTTGAATAAAAAGCTACTTTGCGCTTGATTTTTCAAAATCCACAAAATTGCAGAGAAAAGAATAAAAACAACATTAAGAATGGTAAATGACGGACCAACATGGAGAATATTAGCATCACAGACTCAGTCTCAGACTCGGTTTTGAGAGCGAAACATATCTTGTAGTCTAGGAATAAAACTAAACTCAATAGCTCCGATTAACTAAGTCATAAGCAACAACAAAAACAAGTCAAAGTAAATGTAATTGAGACCGATACTGACACTGAGCAGCAAATCAGTTACCGAATTGGCAACGATTCAAATGCAGAGCAATAACATAAAGCGTCGACAACTACAACTACAAACAAACAAACGGTAATTGAAGCAAATAACAATAACAAAAAAGCAAAATCACATACGAATACACATACACATGCAAAGTAATGTATATATGTAAATATATGTGCACCATAATATTCGCGCGGCCAGCAGCTACAGAGCAGAAGGCAACAACAAAAATAAGAAGCTAAAAAAGAACTTTCCGATTTTCATAATAAAAAGGTTTCCACTAAATGACGAGCCGTTTAGTCGGCTATCGATGCTGAGGAAAGTGAAACGCGACACGCCAAACACCAAACGTCAAACACTATAAACGCGCCGCAAAGCTTGTGTATAAAGTGAAAAACCCCACAAAACAAAAAAATATACGTAAGCAGAAAGTGTACGTGCGCGTAACGAAACTAGCGTAAATAAAGCTAAGTGTCAACTTGAAACGCCTCAAGATAAAACAAATAAATAGCAAGCATTTATTTAAAATCTGTAAATGCGTTTCGTCTATCCACAAAGTGCGACTAAACGAATTTTAAAGTAACGTTACAGTTTTTTTTTATAATTTCGAACTTAAGCAAATATTGAAAGAAAAAAACGCATTTCTTAGTAATCAAACAAAATTGCGAATTACAGTTTGTGCTACACTTTAACAGTATTTTAGAAGTTAATATAACAGTCTTAGCATTTGAAGCTGCCAAATTTTCCAAATAATAATTTAATATTTCTCACGGAATAAAATAATAAGTAAAATAATATCGAAATGAAGCAGTTAAGTGAAACAGTAGGCCAACAGCAACAAAACGGCATCGCCACTATAAGTCAACAAGAGCAACAACAACAACAGCAGCAGCAGCAATCAACTGCGTTACAGCGCCATTTTGCAGAGGATTTGGCAAGTAACGGCGAACAGAAACAGCAGCAAACGCCGCAACAGCTGATGCATTCGCTGCCGAATAAGAATAGTATGCAGCTGGCATTAACGGTAAATGGCAGTAACGGCAGCAGTAGTGGTACATACAGCAGCGGCAGCAGCAGCTTTCTGGCACAGAACGGCAAGAATGGCAGTGAAAATGGTGAGCATGTACATATTTGCAATTTATATACATATGTATGTACGTAGATATGTATTAGGAATATTTTAACACAAATTATATACGAATGCTGGTATGGAAATGTATGTAGAGAGCACGAGTAAATGCTTCGTGTATGTAATTGGCTATTGCTTTAAAATTTTAAAGTGGATTAGCAAATGTGCTTTTAAGTGCAAAAGTCTCAATTGAAAAATTAACAACCAAAACAATTAATTAAAAAAAAGGAATTTTTTTGATTTTAATACCGTAAGAATTTTTATCAAGTAGGTTCTAATATTTTAGCAACAATTAATTTTAAGTAATTTTAATTAATTTTCTTTTTTAAAACAATTTCGAAAGTTTTACTAAAATACATTTAAAAATATTAATTTAAATAAATTGCAATTATATTATGTGAAAAATGTAAGTAAATTTCGTTAAATGTAAATTTTGAAAACAAATATTTTAAATAATAGAAGTCTACAGCAACAAAATATCGAATTTTTATTTTGAAATCTTAAGCTGAGATCATTAAATGGCTGCATTTCTTCTAAGTTCCATTTTTTATTTTCTTTATTATTAATAATTCTCATTTTTATACCTTGAAGTTTGCCACGAAGTTTGTAACACTCAGTGGAAAACGTGTTCATATCGGCTGAATATACAACACCATACAAACAGACCGATCTAAATCAAGTTCTTGTATGGAAACTTTTATTTCCTGAATGTTATTATAGCTTCGGTGCTACCGAAGTTAACGTTTTTTCTTGTTTAAAGCCCAATTCCGACAATACAATTTGTAATTCCACTTTGTCCAGTAACGCTAACGTTATCACACCAACAATGCAGCGAATGCTGATTTCCAACTAGTCCATGTCAGTTAACTTAGCATATACAATCCAAAATAATAAATCTAAGCAACGCTTTTTTCTCTTTATATGATCTATGATTCGGTTCTCAAAAGTACTATGTCAATTAAATGATGATTTCACCGTAGTTGCACCATCTTGCTTGAACCCTTTAGCACAAAAACCATTGACATTGTCATAGGAAACCAGTAGACCTTTTGGAAAGATAATGGTTTTTCAGTATGCATAAAACTATCCATTTTCAATATGGTTCTCACTTTAAATTTCGGAAGTTTGTCGCTAAATTCACGAATTTCGTAAATAAATGTCCACGATTTGATTATTGTCCATTGTTGAAAGATTCAATGTTTGTTAGCGCCGCGTGCTTAAGTTATTTTGTATATGATTTCACACAAATCCCAGATGTACTCACTGATTATTCAAGATATTTTGTTGTACCATCTATATTCAATTGTTGCTATGCATCATATCAGCTGGTATGTGATTTTTTAAATGGCTCAGTCTTATCTTTTTTTTTTAATATTACCGTAAATAATAAATACTGTGCGTAAGGCATGAGGAAATCATGTTCAAAGCTAATTTTATTTTTCAAGGCTTTTGTTTTATTTTTTAGCTGTTACAAATACATTTTCAAAACATAATAAAACTCCTGAAATAGTACAGTTTCCGTGAAAATTATGAGCCTTAACATATGATAATTGTATGCTGATGCACTTGAGCATTTAAACGAAAATTACTCCACCCTTCGCTACGTTAGTTTTCTAATGTGCTTCTTCTTATATGTGCGGATTTTTTGGCAGAAAATAGCACCTGAGATCAGTATAAGTAATTACAGAACATGGTACATATTTAGCAGTAGTTAGGGTATAAGGCGACGTATTTGGTCTTCTAATTGTTTACCACAATCCGTTGACTTTTTAGCCTCAATGTCGTCTTAAAGATAATGCCACATCGAAAAAGTTTCCATTAAACTACCTATTTAGGTAAAGTTTCATTTTTATTTTTTTGGTTGATTTATTAGAGAAACTGAAAGTATTTTGAATATTTAGAATATATACTTTATCACAGTGAAATGAGATATAGCAAGTTAGATTCTAAAGATAGCAATATTCAATGATGACTACCTTTTTTGCATAACTTTGAAGGGCTTTTTGTGGCAGTTAGTGTGTAGAAGAGAAGTTGTAGACTTCAATGTTGCCATTAAGCCAAATTTCTCTAATTAGGTAAATTTGTATTCTATTTTGACATTTCACGCAGTTAAGCAACAAAAGTAAGTCCAGTATTGGACTAGTTATTTTAATTACAGCTTAATGCATGAACGTGAAATTTCGTCTTGTAAGCTTTTAGAGGCTGTCGAGAACAAGTATTTATTGGAAGTGTTACGAATTCAATATTTTGGTTTCGAAGATAGTTTGAATGATTATATGAAAGTACATAAAACTGCATTTAAGATCATAATTCAAGTATTGGTCCTAAAACAAATAGGTTTCTGATCGCGAATTGACACCGGTAGAAAGGCTAATAACAGAGCTATCGATATTACAATTCACTCGCTTCAGTGCTTTCGCCTCGGTATTCAGCTCCTTTTACATAAATGCTGACACTGACACATTAATATTCAGTTTCACTAAAAAAAAACTTCTAAAACGAAGGTCACCAAAATGCAACTTAATGCAGTGCTATAAAATATGAAACCGTTATAAAGGAAAAGGTCGTAATCCACCGTAAAATTGTAGGGTTGCAATGTGGTTAATGCTTACACATTGCCTACTTTTCCGCTACGTTTGAGATGCTCTGCATTGCTGCACTTGTAAATATATACATACACATGCACATATATATACATGTGTGTATGTTCAATGTCAATTTAACACCATAAAATGCCAAGATTAAATTTCATAACACAAAGGCCTTTCACACGACTTCGCCAAATGGTTGAAATCAATATCAATATGCACTTGTGGTTTATGTGCACTTCGTTGCATACCGAATCTTACAGCATACAATGGATACTTTTCATAGATGTAGAAATAACATTAGAATTGTGCGGTTCTGTCTGATTACAATGCCCATTAAATACTAAAAATTCTTAACAAATAAATTTAATGCAACTAACATTCCAGACATATGTATGTATCTGTGTATTTATGATTATCTGTCTGTGCTTAATTGGGTACACAGGTTTCTATGTTGAGCCGCCTCATAGAGGTGACCCTTTACCGCATTACCTGTTATGCACTCGCATCCATTTACATACAAACATACACATACAGACGTATGCGCTGATGAAATACCTTAGAAATGGTAGCAATTCGAATCATAAAAATAATCTCAAATTGCAGGCATTAAAATAACTTTGACACGTGTATTGAAAATATAACAACAATATTGTTGGCAAATGGTTATAGTGACTTATATGGGGCTGTCAATTGGGAATCGAGGCTTACACAATTTTCAGTTATACTTTACTCTAATTGTTACTATATAGATTTCGCTAAGAATTTATATTTTGTAGTGAGTTTAAATTCGTACAAGTTTTGAGCCTTTAAACAGCTGATGGGTGAGCTTAGGTTGCTGGCGTTAATAGAAAAATGTTATAATTTTAGATTTTTCTTAGAACACTGTTTTTTTGACAAGGACGACAATCGGCGACGTAAAAAATTTTTATAGGCCATACTACGGCAACTAAACTTGAAGTTTTAATATAGCGACTATAGTGACATACCATTCGTGACTTTAACGAAATTCGAAAACTCTTTTTATACAACTATCGAGATTTGAGCTCCCTGAATAAATCTGGGAGCAATGTGTGAACTGTTCTATGACATCTAAGCTTCCATTTTATTAGCCAATCTAAAAAGTTGCGGGAGTCAGAAGCAGAATCGGAGGTGAAAGTTTTTCGAATGCTGAGTGTTCGTTTAGGACTAAATAAAATACCTATTATTCTTCAAAAGGAATGAAAGAATATTATAAATAACATGGTTTCTCAATAGGGACCACAAATAGTTTATTTTCTAAACCAAAATATATTTTAGACTTTAGGATTTCTTCAGAGCATTCCTGCACCTAAGGTTAAGTAACAAATCTCGCTGTATAAATATGTCGATACTTTTTAGAAAATAATATTCGATATCAATATTCGATGTTTTTTCTGTGTACCATATTCGAAGTTTTGTAATGTCTGCTATGAGCGTTATTTTCCTCATTTTGAATTAGAAGCATTTTTGAAATTTTTTGATAAAAATATTGTGTTTGTGTTAAATGCTAGAATTCATACGCTTTTTGTTATATTTATAAAGATATCTTGTCAAATAAAGTTTTCCATACAAAAAACTGGATTTTGATTGTTTAGTTTGCATGGCAATTATATGCTATAGTGGCCCGATACTGGTTCCGACAAGTAAGCAACTTCCTGTGGAGAAAAGGACGTGTGCTAAACTTCAGACCGCTATGTCATAAACAGGCATTCGAATAGGGCTAGATCGACATAGTTCGCCAGGTTGATCAGTTATATATATTTTGTGTAGGGTCTCCGACGCCTCCTTCTGTGTGTTAAAGACTTCGTGGCAAACTTAATATACCTTTTTCAGGGTAAAATGATATATTCACGAATATACAGTGTTGCCTTGTGTTATTCTAATAGGTATGACAGCCACCAAGCCGCATGTTCCTTATTTGTTTATAGCCTTACACTTTTTAATATTTTATTGCTTCTAAGAAATTATGAGGAAACTGACTATCAGATCATTGTTGACATTTGCTAAAGTCACATGCATAACAGATTTCAATATCTCAAACATCAGTGGATTTCATGCCATATTTGTAACGAACGTTAATTGCTCATTAAAATGTTATTTTTGTAGAAATGAGATGAAAAACGTACTTTTGAATACATAAAACATGCAAATGCATATAATTATTAACTTAAACTGCATCTTCTAGTACAAAATAAAAAATAAAAAACAAAAACTGCTATTATCTGATATTTTAAGTGCTCTATGTATTTTTTTCTTCATACTGCATCCATCACTACTTTAAATAACAAATAGAAAGGTCTGCTGATGCTGCGCAAAAAATCAATAAATACGTTATTGACTTTGACATTGAAAAAAATAAGTAAGACGTTATAAATTT